CGCCTCCATTGAGTTTTTATTGTGGAGCGATGGGTGGCAGAAGGATTAACAGAACATCAGGACCTAAGGGCACTTCCAAATAAAACTACATGATGGACCAAGGATGTCTCTAAATAATAGGATATGAGAACTCAATGGTACCTCCAAATAGTAGCCCATAAGGACCCACGACCTATCTCAAATATAGAGATTGAGTATTTGAGTATCTTCCCAAGAAGAGGTAGATAAGGGCACAGTCTACTGGAACTGGTACATCCCTAGCACCTCAGCACCTTTTCAGCACTTTCCAGTGTTTTTCGGTGCTGGGTGCCAGCACTTACCCCTTGAGTAAAGATCAAATGCACCCTCAACAGATTAAGGGTGTGGGTGTGGATCAGTCTGCTCTTTGCCACCACCCACACCCACACCCCAAGGAGAATAAAATTTAATTTATAAGATAAAGCTCACTTACAGAGCTGTTATCACCAATCTATAATACAAAAAAGAATTGAATTTATAAGAGACAATTTACCTATTGAACTAATATCCGTTTCGCAATAAAAGAGACCTTACAGTTATTCGAAAAACTTTTGATAGGAACAAGATAGAGAGCTGCAGTTTTTACTTTAGAAAGAGAAACGTTGAGACTGCATTCCACTGCTGAAATTTGATCAATTTACAATTAACTAATGGGCTGAATTCTCAATGCACATTTTCAAACAATATTCTGAAGACGGTTCTGGTCCTATATTAGATCTTGCCATGATTATTACATAGGAAGAGTTGTTCTTTTTCGATCCACCCAAGGTCCAACACTCTAGCTCATTATTCTTTTAGCATTTATGAGAGTTTTTGGCTTGTTCAGACGTAACGCTGTTACGTTTTAGACACAAATCTTTTTCAATTATCTCAGAAATAGAAAGAGCTAGAAAGCTCGTTGAAACACCATTTGACGCAGATTATCATGCTCTACTTATGACATAAAAACGAATGGTTTTGGTTGAAGTGTCGAACTTCCGGAAAGCTTTTTTGGTAGCGTAGCGCCGTTACATTAAAGATCTTTTCTCTCTAGTGCCGTTTATAAACCTCTCGTTTTTTGAGAAAGTATTTCTCCAAATGGAATGCTTATGGAGCCAGTTCGCAGAGCATCAGATGGGCTTTCAAGCAGTAAAAAAGATTTTCTCTAAACTATTTTTGCACAGATAAAAACTGCAAAAACCAAATGTAACACTGTTACACTGGTTTTTGTTGACCAAATATAGACACATAACATGCTCAGAAATATTTAATTTTTATACATATTGGTCATTGCCATACGTATATCGTTCAATACAAGAATGAAGTTGCTACACCAAAGGGGGAGCTCATTAACTGCACAGTAAGTTACAAACTGTACAAAAACTGAGAAGTTTGCCTGAGAGATGATAGCAAAAAGTAAATACGTTGTTTCGTAGAGAATCAAATTTTGCATCGGGTGGTATGCCATTCAGCATTTTTTTAAAAGTTTCTTGGTTAGGAAATTCAAAATACTATTTTTGAAAATTTTAAAACCCAGTTTTTGATGCTAAAGGTCATGTTTTTTAAAGAAAAAAGACCGAATTTATAATCAGCGCAAAAAATTGCATCTGAAAATGGATTTATATCTGTCAATCCCGAACAAACAATTTTGAAAAACATGATCAGCGAAGTGTCCCGTTACGTGACCAAATCGTTTTCCTGAGACTCCTGATTTCGACTAATTAAGCTGACGTTGCACAGGAAAAGATCTTGGTAGGGGTAATTTATCACGCTGAGTTTCGTGGTAGTGTTTTCTTTTGCATTCGAAGTACATTTACACTTTAATCTGAAATTTCAGAAATACTCAGATTAAAGTTTTAATGTACTTCGAATGCAAAAACAAACACCATCACCAGACTCAACGTAATGAATTATCCCTACCAGGATCTTTTGCTGGGCAATTTCAGCTTAATGAACGGAAGTCGGGAGTCTCAGAAAAATCGCCATAACTCCTGAACGAAACGAGCTAGTATTAGGCCTTGTGTGAATCGAAAGAGAACCACTCTTCCTATGTAATAATCATGGCAAGATCCAACATAGGATTAGAATCATCTTCAGAATATTGTTTGAAAAATGTGCATCGAGAATTCAACCCATTATTTAATTGTATAATTAAATTTTAGCAGTGGAATGCAGCCCGGACGTGTCTCTTTCTCAAGGTAAAAACTGTAGCTCTCTTTCTTCTTATCAAACATTATTCGAATAAGCGTAAGGTCGCTTTTATTTTGAAACTGATGTTAATGTAAAAAATCTATAATAAAAAATAAAAATTTAGTTCATGAAATGAAACTTACCTATAGAGCTACTGTGATAAATCAATAATAAACAGAAAGACTAGAATTTCAGTTTATAAGATAAAACTCGCTTACAGAATTTTGATGATCAATCTTAAATAAAAAAAAAAGTGCATTACATTTGGATTGTATGATGGTGCTTTCAGATAGTACTATCGTTTAGAGTAGTCTCAATAAAGGAATAGAGTCTGAATGTTTTGAGCTAACACCTACTTTGAATTGGATGATGAAAGGAAAAGTTGGTGATTGTATGATCAGTGGTGAATTGCAAGGTGCTTACGTTTCGAAATGCATCATAGTGATGGATCGAGTGTCTTTTTATTACATATTTTCTGCTTTTACGGTCGCACTTTTTCTCAGGTAATTTTTCTTTCTGATTCAATTTGTTTTCATGCTTTGATGCTTCATGTCTTCTTGATATCATAAAAAAGCGTTGAAGAAAGAGGACATCTTGAATTTCAATGTGGAATCGGAATGAAAGGTAGAAAGTTCCTGCTACCAGTTATTTCATTTCCAAATTAAAATCTGATAGCTACTAGTGTAAAATAATACTACAAACATTCGGAGTCAATCTGTCGTTCGGATATCATGGAGGAGACATGGAGAGAAGCTTAATTCTAGTTGATTATGTTACTTTGAAGTAGCATTTACGACATTTATAATTGAAAATAAAATAACTTTTAATAGAATTAATTGTCTCATTGCAATCTGTCGTTCGCTTTTTCATTTTACATATTTTGATCTCTGCACGTTTCTCGTAATAATGGTACGATGGGAAATATCAAAACACTCGAATAATTTGAAAGAGTGAGAAAGATATCTGAAGAAAAATATCAGGATCGGGTGATTTATAGACTTCCTTTGTAAACGTTTATGTAGGATAAAAAGTTTTCCTCTTCTTTAAAGTTATGCACAAATATAAAAAAATACAGTATACAACTAATAATGAAGCATAGAGAATTGGGTTACGATTATAGAAGAGAAATAAAAACAAAATTAAGTTTTTAAAATCATTTTAACTGGCTCAAACTCGTTTAGTTGCGAGCCTCACATATTGTTTTAATATTATAACAGGTGAAGAAGAACGTTGTTGGTGTTTACGTTTTCGGTTAATAGTTAAAAGTGCTTCTTTGCTTTCGATTGATGCGTACGGCTCAACTTCAATTTGTTCTGTTGATGATGACGTGTTAGACGAAAAATCTTCGGCTATTTTAACCAAAATAGCGCTATTGCGTAATTCGTCGGCAGTTGATGATGGGATCGGTTCACCGTGAATGATCATTCGATAATGTAGTGTGAACTGATACATTGAACATATGCTCTCGTTTTTTTTTAATTTCTCCTACTTATCTCAACAATACTCTGCTTGGTATGGCAATTCTCGACAAATATACCTTCTGGTTAATCGCTACCGACATGTGACTTTTTTATTCCTTTGACTATTAGGCAATGTGTCTACTTTATTCTCGATACGACGTTGATTATTTTCTAAATTTTATAAGTAAACTTCACTGTTTCTCTCACTACTATGATTCCCTTGAGTTTTAATTTTGTTCACTCTAATTTGTTCCTGATAAATGTGCACACTCATTTCTGTGATTTTTTTCTTTCATCCTTATAATTTTTAAGGGTAACCTATGATGCGCTTCCTTTACTACTGAACAAATAAACATTATTAAGTGAGTATGCTACTGAAGCTACCATTGAATCCTTCGTGGTTGGGAAAAAAAGAAAAATTTTTAATATCTTACAGAACCACACATGGTTTTGTACGAGGCACACGAAACCTACTAATACTTAACAAAACTATACAAGGTTTCGTATAAATATACGCAACTTTTACAGACCAAATGAAGGGAAGAATGGTTGTTGACAAATAATATGGAACCCTCCAATATTCTACCAAACTATTGAGAGTTTTCAATAGAAAGCGTGAAACTTTTAAAATAACAACGAAACTAAGAATGGTTCCGTCGACATATTAAGAAACCTTCCGAAATTCTACGGAACCATCAAAAGTTTAGCTCATGATGTACGAAGCCATAAATGAATCTACGGAACTGGTAGACAGTTTTTCACAAAAAGTAGGAAACTCTACAAATTCTGTTGAACTTAAAAAGGTCCTGCATGAAAGTACGACGATTTCCATTTTACTGAACCTAAAATCGTTCGGCACAAACATACAAAACTTTTAGAGTTCGGTAATAAGCCTATATTTTTTGGACTGCTGTCTATTACTATTGTCGTCTTGTTTCGTAGCCCTATTAATGTTAAAAAAAACAAAAACAAAAAACAATGGCCGTCTGTTTTGTTTTCCATTTACTCTATTGTAAAATGTATAGTCAATTAAAAATGTAGAACTTATTTTTATCTACTGTAAATCTATTGTAATTTGCCTAAAGAAGTTGGTTATAGCAACGAAACATTACATTATTTGGTGATAATAAAAGTTAAAAATTAAAATTTATTATCTTTTTAATCAAATAATCAATGCAAGAGAATTAAAATGTCTATAAAACGTTGAATCGTACGTTGAAGATGTTGATAAAATTAAAATTAAATTCATTTATGAATATGAAAGAAAAAATACCATTCATTTTCTTCATGCGACATTGTCAAAAAACAATCATTATACGATTAGTATCGAATAGTATAGAAAACACACAGCTTTCGATGGGTCATTGAACTACTATTCAGATCATAAAGAATCTATTAAAATTAATATTATTAAAAACATGGCATTCTTAATACTTGAGGCAACAAATAATCATAAGGACAAGCGGCCTAATGTAAATAGTTTAAAGCAATTTTTATAAAATCGAAGTACCCAATATATATCATAGATAAATATATTTAAGAAACCCTCAAATCCCAAAAAGATACAACAAATGAAATACCAAATTACCATTAACATTTGTTCATCAAATAGGAGTACTGAAACGGAAATTAGAAAAATTGAGAATAAAAATTTTTTCTTGCCCTAATAAGCTTCAAACAGCAGTTACGAGCCCAGTTAAACAAAAACCTAGATCAACTTTTTATGAAGTAACACGTAAGTATCGAGCAATGTATAACCGGGGAAAAAACTTGCTTTAAATAGACGAATATCACAACACAGAAGAATAATTAAAAAGCAGAAGAATGAATAAAATTCGTAGAATCTCAACACCATCAAGATGATCCATAGCAGTGCACATGAAATTTGTATAAAGAATTTGTCATTGACAATGAGATTGGTTGGAAAAAATGACGAATCAAAGAATCTATTTATTCCCCATTAAAAAGTTGAAAAACCATCGTGATAACATTAATATGTAATCGCTCCCTCTATTGGATCAAGTATCTACAATAATAGAAACAACTATATAGATCGAAAAAAAAATTAAACAAAAAAATCCATGCATTCCTAGGCAACATCTGAACAAGATAACTTCGATTCGTGAAGTGGCACGTCATTATTTTATTATAATAATTATTATATAAATATTATAATTACTTAAAATGAATTGTTTTCATATCATCTTTTTTATTAAATCAAGACATACAAAAATAAATATATTTAATGAAAACTCAAAATATTCGATCGATTAAAGCGAAAATTTCACACAAATTTGAAAAACAAGCTGTATTTTGACCATATGCATGTGATTTTTTTGCGCACATCGTAATGCATTCTTTTTCTTCTTAGTATCTTATATCTATACGAAGGATGAATGAGAGAACAAGTAAAAGAAAGGTAAAATTTTCAACCAAGAAAAAGAACGCACTTTTTGAGAATAAGCTGATCGTATTTCGCGTATATTGAGATGAACATTTGTTTGTTTGTGTATGGTTATCATTTTTCTGTACGAAGGACATATGAAAGAAAGAGCAAAACAGTGGTAAAATTTATTTCGTCTAAATAGGAAGGACATATTAATGATTTCAATGTATATTTTGAGTCTTCCGTATCGACATTTATTTAGTTTTGGATAGCTTTATCCCAGTAAAAAAAAGTAAACACAATTAATTTTGATTAATTCTAATACTCCTATAATAATCATTCGAATAAAATAATGACGTGATGTTTCGACAATGGAAGTTGTCTTTCATCAGACATTTTTAAGAAATGCATAGATTTCACTATTTTTATTTCTTTTTCTTTTCTTTTTGGTATTAATCATATAATAATGGAGCCACAAGACGTTGAAACTGGTTAGAGAGATGGATTACTTGTTTTTTTTTACTAACAGCCCGCTACTCTGTGACGAATATAAGAAAGAAAATAAAAAGATAATAAAACAGAAAAATCTATACATTCGTATACAACGTCTCCACAAGACAGCTTCGATCGTCGAAACATTACGTCATTATTTTATTGAAATAATTATTATGTGAATATTGTGATCAATAAATTTTGTTGTTTCTATTCTATTTTAAGTTTTTGAATAAAAATGTAGAAAAATAAATAAAAAAAAACGCAAAAGTGGAAACATGCAATCAATTAATAGATCGTTCCGAATTAAAGAAAATGAATATGATAGCCTCTATAAAACGAGTGTGTATGCCGTCGTGTTATACTTGGAAAAATCCCATCTACGATTTATAAAAAGAAAACAACATAAAATATTTATAAAACAATGTAAGAGAAAAAGTGTAGTTCCTAAAGGAATGCAGTGAAATAACATGACCAATAATAAGAAAAATTAGAAATGATATGTTGCCATGTCGATTCAAATAACAAGGATATATGAGCATCGAAAACACAGCACAATAAAAGGTTTTTGGCATACACATAAATGAAATTTAACCCCTACCACGTCATCAATCTGATATAAACTGGATAAACAAACATGACAAAAATAAAAAGCAAACAATACAAAATAAAAATAAGAAGCATTTTGACCCGTTAATAAATGAGAAAAAAAACAAAAAATAATACCATCAAATATGGCAATACATGCAACAAATGTTGTAAATAAATTGAATAAGAAACTACCAAATCATGAATTACAAGTATTTTCCAAAGGCGTCAGAAATCAGGATAACCTCGAAATCAATAAATGTAGCTCATATAATAACAAAAACTAAATATGCACTGATTTAAGCAGCATCAGTAATGGAACGACTCGCTATTTCTCAAATCAATACATTTAAGAAAAGTGAAAAGGACCTGCAAACAAAAGTTAAATACCAATAATCAAAAATCAAAAAAAGAATAAAAACATGAAGACTATAATTATAATACCTGTAGATAAAAAAAGGAAGGTAATAGAAACGACAATGATGTTTATGAAGAAGTAGAAGATTCAACAAATATGATCAAAGCTAAAATAATAACACTTATAATAGATTGTTTAAATCAAATCGAATTACTCAAAACCAGAAAAATAAATTTTCATCAATCGACGATCTTCCAAGAACAAGAGGGCAACCTACAGTACACAAATAATATTGCCCAATGAGATTAATAAGAAATACAGGAAATAAAATTCTCTCACCTGCATCAAGATATGCATTGTCACTTATTCAATAATTAAGAGAAACAATCCAAAACTCAAGATGTAAAACATTTATTTACGAACATACTTGTAACAAGAGCTATTGATATATCTCTAAATAGAACAGATAATTTCAAAAATTTCTGTGCATCAAATTTGATTAAAATAGACCTAAAACAATTATTATCATAATAATTAAACAATAAATATGGCCTGTTTCATGAGAAATATTATACACAAAAGCATGGTTTACCCATGAGTAAAACTTGGTCACTCATTCTAGCTAAATTTTACATGAATGAATACCTGAAGAAAAATTGTTTAAAAATTATTTTACTTTTTGAAATTTGGAGGTATGTAGATGACATTCTTATAATAACCACAATGAATGAAGAATATGTTGAATAATATGCTTAAGATCCTAATGCAATTAGTAATGTTATATTCGGTGATGAATATAAAAGAAATAATACCATTTATTTTTTTTGATACCAAGTCGTCGAAAAACAATCATAATACAATTAGTATCGAATGGTTTAGAAAACACGCAGCTTTCGATAGGTTATTGAACTATTAAACAGATCAGGAACAATCTATAAAAAATTTATATGGTTCAATACATGATATCCTAAATAATTGCAACAACAAATAATTATAATAACCAACAGGATAATAAATAAACTTTAAGGAATTTTTATAAAGTCGAAGTATCCAACAAATATTATCTATAAATATTTTCAAGAAACTATGAAATCAAATAAAACTAGAACAAATGAAAATGACGAACATAAGAAAATCAAAT